CAGGTACATGGCACGGTCGAGGCCGCATCTTGGCGCTACACCTCACACACCCTGGTCCACATAACAAATAGCCAGGTTTTTTAACTAACAGCAACAATGGAGGCTGGCGCGCCGTCACACCCAGCTCGGATCCCACGGAGTGGAAGTGCCATAAAGGCCACATTACTAGGAAAATTTGCGGCCTGACTCTTAGATGGCCAGTCGGCGCCACCACACAAACGCGCATAACACCGGGCCGACTGCGAGGTCCAAGTTATTCCGTCAGTTGGCAAACTTCCAAGTCACGGCTTTCAGCTCATCGTGCTAGCTTCAAGTGTGTCGAGTTGTTTATGGTTAGGAATATGCGCTGAGTCGTCGACCTCACTCTTCCTTCCCATTCCGAGAATCCAGCCACTGTCCCAGCCGGTCAGTTGACAGGTGCGGGGAATAGACGCAGTGGCTAGCATATCTAGTGACCTTGTCTGCGCGCGCCACGTGCACGACCTGGTCCCCCAAACACAAGCACCAGAGTTTCACACAATGGGGGTTGGACGGCGTGCATCTCACACGCGTGGGAGTGCCTGAAGTCACGTTTAGAAGGATCCGTTTTAGCCTGGCTCTCAGCCCATCAGTGCGCCACTCCAAACAGATACACAATTGAGCAGACCGCGTGGACTAGCAAATTTGTCTGCGCGCGCCACATGCACGACCTGGTCCCACCAGGATTTCACACAACGGGGGTTGAGAGGCATGCATCTCGCTTGCGTGAGAGTGCCATAGCTCAAGTTAAGAAGGAGCCGTTTCAGCCTGGTTCTCGCCCTCTAGTCTACCACTCCACACGCACACACACACACAACTGAGTTGGGCGTCGGTCAGCAGTTTACGAGGAAACAACGCTTGGCGCGCCGTGATAGTCTTAGATTCCAATCACACAAGAACCAGAGGAGCCGCATGGAGACAGAGTCGAGATGCACAGTTCCCACTTGCGTGGAGGATGGCAGCTGGATGCCTGTGGTGAATGATGATATTATGTGATGCAGCTGGAGGAAGATGTGGTGGTGTGGTGAGTTCGGCGGTTGTATGCCGCAGGGTTTCCTGAATGCGGTGAGTGAATGTGCGGGTGTAGTGAGGGCAGTTGAGGCGGATGCGTCGAGTTCATATTGGTGCTCCAGGGACTGGTTCACCGGTCTCTGTGCGAGGGATTCCCAAGTGACCGGCCAGGCCGATCTGTGACGTGGAAATGCAGTCACGATGAGGACAGGTGTGGACCGAGTCCATATCGGTGGTGGTGGCGGTTGTGAGGTTGGTATTTGTTGGTGTGTTAGGATTGACTGCAGTGGTGGTGGGTGCAGGAGCCGTCAGAGCGGATGCTGAGGCGCAGGCGGAGGATGTCAGTGGAGGCTCAGGAGTGAGGCGTGGAAAGCAAAGTATAGGTGGACGGGGGGGGACATCAGATGGTGTCGTCAGAGCGATGCAGTTAGCAAGATGTCCAATAAGTTCGATTGGTGCCGGAACGTCCGTTGACATCGGGGACAGTTTGAGGGTGGTCGACGGTTGGGGTTGAGAGGTGGACGCAGATGAGATTTTCGAGCCTCGCTTTTGACTTTGGCGGCGATGACGCGGTTGGCCCCGTAGATCCCTCCGCCGATCTTCACTGCCCTCTGCCATGTCGGTCGTACCCGGCGAGGTCTTCCCAGTTGGCCACATCAATTTGTCGGCGCCGCAGGGAGGTGCGCAGAGTCTCGTTGTAGCGCCTGACTTGACCTCCTTATCGGCCAGGGCTCGTGGCGATATCTCCAGAGAAGAGTCGTTTGAGTAACCGCTAGTTGTCAATGCGCACAACATGACCGATCCAGCCCAGTTGCAACTCTCTCAGTATGGCTTAAATGCTGAGGATTCTCATCCGTTCCACTACGTCCGTGTCGGGCACCCGGTCATGCAAACTCAGCTTCAATATCGATCGGGGACAGCTGAGGTGGAAGTAGTTGGGTCCTCGCGCCTGCATCTTCTAGACCGGCTAAGTATCCGCTCCGTATATCAGCGTCGGCAGGATGACTACTTTTTGCATCTTCAGTTTGATGCTGATGTGGAAACTGTGCCGATTAAAAATTGTATTTTGCAGACGGTCATAGTCTTGGCTGGATTTAGAAATCCGACTGGCCACTTCATCGTCCGTTTTGGTTTTGCGAGAGAGAGTGCTGCCCAGGTAGGTGAAAATATCCACAACTAGCACTTGGGCGCCTTTCACGTTGATTATGGATACGGCATAGAGAGCGTCGGGTGGCATGGCCACCACCTTTACCGTGTTGATTACCAGGCCGAAGTTCTTGCAGGCGGCAGCAAAAAGATCCATGCTCCCCCGCATGTCCCCTTTGGAGGTGCCGTAGTGGGCACAGCCGTCGGAGAAGAGAAGTTATTGGACGGTGGTTGTGGAGACAGGCGATTGAAAGTGCTTCCTCCTGTGGTTGAGCGGTTGACCATCCGTCCTGTAGGCAATGCGAATCGTCACGTCAGAAGTCCGTTAGCATGGAAGTGATCAAGAGACTGAAGAGCGTAGGCGCGAGGATGCAGCCCCTGCTTCACGCCGTTTGTAGCTGCGAACGCCTCTGAGACAACTCCATTGTCCGTGACGCGCGCCGTCTCGGAGCTGGCGCTCGGGACAGCCGAATTTCCATATGATTTTCCACAGTCCTTCAGGATTTACCGTACCGAAGGCTTTGGTCAGATCCATCAAGGTAGACTAGGGGTGGTCCGCATCTCCTTCAGTTTTCGGGCGACAAAAACTATGTCCACGGTCCCATGATGACGGCGGTAGCCGCACTGACTGTTCGGCAGAAGACCTTGTTCTAGGTGGTTGTTCAGACGGTTGAGAAGGACACGAGCAAAGATTTTCCCGGCGAAGTTCAACAGCGCGATTCTTGTGTGATTGTCGCAGATTTGGCGGTTTCCTTTCTGCTTGTATAGATGATCGGTTGTGGCGTCTTAAAGATACTGCGGAACTTCTCCTTGACGCCAAATCTCCTGTAAGAGCGCCGTCAGACGATCCAGGAGTTGGGGCCACCATGCTTTTGGATCTCAGCAGAGACCGCGTCCGATCCGGGCACTTTCCCGCTGGAGAGCTGCTGCACGGCCCTGATGGTTCCTTGTAGAGAGGGTGGGCGGTTGATGTCGACGATGGTGACCACTTGAAGCAGACGGGCGATGGTGGCGTCGGATATGGTGGAGGGGCGGTTGCGGGCGCCTCTGAAGTGCTCGACTCATTGCTGAAGAATATGTGTCTTCTCGGTCAGTAGGGTACTGCTTTCGGCGCTGAGAAGTGGATTATTTCCTTTGCTTGGATTGCTCCTGGGATGTAAGGAGAATCACTAATACCTTTTGCCATTTAGAAGATACCATATAGTACTCATAAAATTTTGCAATCTGTTTGGGCTAAGCTGTATGCTGTATGAGGTGCCTTGGTAAACGGACTGATACGGTGCTTTTTGAATGGACATTTCATGGTCTTAGCAAGTCTCATAGTTGAAAGTTTCTTGCATGGTAATCCACATCACAACCTCGAAAGCGCATTTCAGAATTCCAGTTTACATTTTATGTGATCGGCCAGCGACCTTAATCATGTGAATAGGATTCAGCGTTGAATCGAACATCATTGGGTTTATACTATGCTGGCGATGCACAGAACGCCGACAGGGAATGATCGTCTGCATTCAGACTACGACTAGGAAGCGTGCACCTCTGAAAGCTCAAATGAATAAATTACTATTACCAGCGATCGACTCTTCAAGCTTAACAGATGAGATTCTTGGGACTAATTTTCTCGTTCAGGTTTGTAATTTTTAATACCCAGGGATACACTCAGTAGCGTTTTGTTTGCTCGCCGTCATCCCGCATGAGCAGCATCAGGGTGAAACCTTTTCCTGAATATATGCCGCCTTAACAACGGCAGTACTTACGCGTTGGGTCGGCAGGACTACATTATGGTAGTGGTCGAGTTCTAGCTGCCAAATTGTTGGGTTAACGTAGAAGGAGGAAGGAAAGAAGCCCTCGACGAGGATTTTATGCAGGATTTAGACTTTCTGATGAGTGATGAATGGAGTTTATGGCAACTGCAATGAACCTAGGATTCCACGGGACTGATTAATGGCTTTGGTCTTTTCCAACTTGGAAGGAGAGATGGCACATTCATGTCATAATGACAGCTCTTGAAACGGTTCGAAGTCCTTGGCATGCATTATTGATTTTCGTTTGGTTTAAAAAGGGTGAGCAACAAGCTACCTGGGGAGTTTGGTATCTTTATATCATCATGAGTTTCTGGCACAGGGGTGGCGCTAGGGATTACTACTTGATCATTTTCTGAATAAGTAGAGTAATTATTACTCATTTTATCGACTTTTCATGGTCAGATCTGACCTACGATTTCGTGTGCGATTGTGGCAAACCATTGACCTACTGCACGATGGTCAGGAATCCCATTAAAACTCTGCTACTTTTTCAGATGTTGTAAACACTTCGAAGTTTTCACCTGTAGAAATATCAGAGGAGGTGTGATACGGATTCCCCCAGAAATCGGACATGTCAACTTGTTTGGACGCCATATTTAATAACGCACACATTGCAGAGCTTCCGTAAAAGAAAACTTTTTCCGAACTCCAAGGTTCACTTTTTAAAAAGGCATAATCCTTTGCAAAGTGATTACAGGGAATAAGTTTCATTTACTCATTTCCAGAAAAAAGAACCAGCATTAAATTTCACCAAAAGCGATGGGCGGTATCTCGATCCTTGTTAAGTTCGCTGCGGATTCATATGGAAGCCGCTATGTGGCCTTGTTCATATTTGTCAATTTGCAAACCGTATTTGAACTTGTTTTTTTTCAGCTAACAGGAAGAGTTGGAGATTTTCGTTAATGGCCTTTGCGAGTTGTGGCACTTCCACCGTCTAATGACTTCGGCCCATTGTGGATGATGTTGCTTTCAGCGTCAAGAGCAAAAATTCCAATCTAAAATTAAGGTGCTAGTGCCGTATCGGCCTAAATATGGAAACATCTGTGATGGCAGCCCCTGCACAGGTGATTTAGTAAACATTTCAGCCGTCAAGGTCAAAAGCTGCCAAACTGTCGGTTTTTTGTACTGTACAAACTTTGACACTGATAACACACCTAGATCCTGACTGCTTTAAGATGTAAATGCTTAAAAATCACCATTCGCGAACGAATTTTAAAATCGTTTGGGGTTCAGTTAGAATCTCCGATCAATAACTTTGGTAATCAAAGATGGGACAACTCCACGTTAGCCTGCACAACGAATCACTATTCTTGCCCGGCACGCTAACCACCTCATACACAGGACAGAACAACATCCATGGATGAGACTCGCTACGAATTTTTCAGCTCCCATTTCTATTGGCTAAATTCCGTCATTCGCCTCCGCCAACAAATCTCATGTCTGCATAAACTGAATTCACCTGGCCGATTGGAGGGATGCGTGCTACGCAATATAGATCCCACACAGTGTCCTTTGTGTACTGGACATCGGTTTCTATGTCATGCTTTTCTAAACAAGGATATTATTTTGCATTTCATCGCTTCCTCTTCTAGCGTCTAAAGAATTTTTCGGTCTGTGCCAAGTCACAGTTTAGAAAAGACGGGACAATTAGTAATTACTTGGAGGAAGGGAAGGAGGAAGAGGAGGGGAAGGGGGAGGAGGAGGAGGATGAGGATGAGGATGAGGAGGAGGAGGAGGAGGAGGAAGAAGAGGAGGAGGAGGAGGAGGAGGAGGAGGAGGAGACAGAAAAGGATTGGCCTGGCCTGCCACTAAAAAGGAAAATCGCCATAGTTTTTTAATATTTTTTTAATAAAATATCAACACACTGATCTGACTGCCGATGATGCAACCAGCTGCATAACCAAATAACTGGTAGGGCTCCATCATTGCGAGGGAAGATAAGCAATATGTCGCCTAATGTTTGTCGAAATTTACTGGTCACCGTCTCGAATATACTTGAGCACGCTGTTCGACTGAGACGCTGAACACCCAACAGCCTTTAATAATGTTAACAATCACTATAAGTGAAGTGCAATTGCGAGGTGGCGTGTCAGAAGAATAAGGATCTTACGCTTTCTTGCATTCTGCTGTGAGAGCAACACTGGTCGAGGTGATACGGGGGACCGGTTTATCCCCACAGCTAGCATTGGCCGCCTACGAATCAGACAGAATTCGCATATACTGTTAGCTGTGCACAGAGATCTTTGGTCTCTTTAGAGGGCTAACCGAAATTGTTAATTGAAACGTAGGGTCACCAGTAAATATCTGTGGGAAATGTTTTTTCCTTTCCTACTGTAAATCACATGACACAGCTAGCCATCATGACCGGTCTGGCGTCATTGTTCAAGATCTCGTTGCCTCAAGGTCATCCACCTTTTTGCAGTGAGTCGTTCCAGACGCGCTGACCTGACGACTGACAGCTAAGGCATACCTGCGTCCGCACAGCCGCAGCTGCCTATGCGGCCACTTGAACGCGCCGCCTGCAACCACAACCTAAACCACTGGGACACCACCCCTCGGCAAATGCAACACACACTGACTGCCCACCAATTGAGCTTGGCCCATGAGTCTACAAAAGCGGCTGCCACCACTATCTCAGGGAATCTCAGGCCTGACCGTACTCAGTCGACACTAGCCCTGACTTCGCCAGTGGTCACTGCTGCCTGAGAGGACAACTCTGGATTCTGTATGCATTAAACCCCACATCCTGGTTCCTTCCGTCTTCTCCTTACAACACTAGGATTTGACTTGATAATTGTAGCTCACAGACTACACACATGTACACCGCTGTGCCGTTACAAGCTGAAAATTTTTCAACAATAACTTTATAGATAGACCGACTCCTGTGACTTGGAGAATGCACGCCGACGAGCACATTAAATTTCGAGCGTCCTGACTGATGACATCCAATGTGTGCTCCATAGCGATGACACACATCTGAGTTAGTTTATAATGATAGTAGACTTTCGCAGAATCTACCGCACTCTCTCCTCGTCCCCCATCTGGGCCTGGTGTCGAGGCAGATTCAAGTGGCGGGGTAAAGTGAAGTGACTGGCACGGAGAAAAGCCGCACCTAGGCGTGCCAGCACACCCCTCGGTCGACAACAAACACCTGATCGGGATTTATACCGCAAGAACACAACGACGAATCAGAAAGAGGAGGGTGACTGGGCAGTCATACCCATGATCTGAATACCCATCGGGAGCGCAAACACATCGGGACTGACCGTCTGCGTGGTCATCCCTTCAAACTGCAAAGGAAGCGGGCTCATTCAGACGTCCGACGGAACGCCTTCTCTCACAGGGTCATCGGGGCATGGAATGGACTCCCTGACGCCGTCGTTCTTTCCGAAAGTGTCAAATCCTTTAAGTGCAGACTAGATGCTCATCTTTTGAGAACCTATTGTACATATAATAATGATTGTTTTAGCGGCGGCAGTTTGAGCCTAGCTCACACTTACCGCTAACTTTTTTCTTTTCGCATTTTCTGATGTAATTGATGACTTTATTTCTGTTTATCGATCTGAATAGGGATCTCAAGGGCGAAAGCCTCATTCCCTTAATAAACTGCCTTAAACTGACCGGCAGGGAACTGCCAGCGCGCATCAGACTGCGAGAGTCATGGTTTGTCGAATAATGGCATGTCAGACGTCCACAAAACTCATAGGCTCATCGTCAGGTAGATCTAGATCAACGGCAGATCTGGCGGACTTATTCTCAAAGACGAAGAAATTGAATGACAACATTCTGTTCTGCAACCATGATAATCCTATAATCGTTGATCCAAAACGTCAACGAAAAATGCATTCTAGCCAATCGTCGAAAGAAAGAGAAATAAATTATCCTGTTAATGACATCTGGCAATCAGACCTTTAGGACTATGCAAGGGAACTACTTGTTTCTTGGAAGAAAAACATCTTGCAGGACGATTTGGTCTACCGCTCAATCGATATGAGAGAGACAAATTGGCGAAGCACGTGCACGGGAGAGGGTGCAGATGGTTGGCACGGCGGGAACCCGCACCTAGGCACACCAGCACATCCCCCGCTTCACGACATGCACTGACCAGGATTTTACAGAACCTTTAAATGTGGGACACCTCGGATCCCGATTATTGCGACGTGAGTCTGCAAGTTGGCCCGTCGCCACACTCCAAATGTAGGTGGGTGCGCATAAGGCCGGTTGGACCCCGATCTAGTCCCCTGTATTGGCCCAGGGCATCGACCGCGTGGCCCGTTCACGGGCACCTCGCACGGATTCACCCACATATCCTATCCAAATGAGGCCAAGTCTAACATAAATCTTGTTCACCTCGCCTGGACCTACATAAGCAACGCCCCAGAGTCCTTGCCGATGAAAACAGCATCAGGAGCCTTATAACTCAGCAGATGAACCTAGACCTACAGTGAGTGACCGATCTAATGAAATGTTGGCCAAAATTCTGAAATGCGTTTTCAATTAGGAAGAACTACTTAGGTAGGGTTGTGATGTTCATTATTCCGCGACATAATCATATAGTATTTCGGATTCAGTATGATGTCGACTTTCGAATGCACTCCTTTTCAACCTGGTAAAAAATGACTACTTAAGTAGCAAGCATTTTTCACACTCAGTTTCGATGTTCGTAAAAATTCAAATATGTTTTATTAAAAACATGGACAAAAGTACTCTTTCTTTCACTCGTTTTATGGAGAATCACGTCAAATTTATGTTTCGCACTCGAAGGTAGATCATAATTAGGTTTTAAAAAAGTTTCTAATTATGAGATTTTTTAAGACCGTGCAATGTCCATTCACACAGCATCGTACCTGTCCTTTTACCACTGCTCCTCATGACATGTACGACATAGTCCGCATCCATTGCGAAGTTTTATGGTTTCAATATGGCGTCTTTTTCAAGGTACAGAAGAATATATGATTCTCCTTACGTGGAACGCATGTACCTTGTAGACTGAAATCACTAGGCGCTAATGTAACGGCTGATCAGACTCCAAATTATTTGGAAACTAGAGAACTTTTTTTAAAAACTAATTATACTCTTTCTTCCAGTATAAAACATGAATTTGACGTGATTCTCTATCAAACGAGCAAAATGAAGGATACTTTTATTCATATTTTTCATAAAACATGTTTGAATTAATAGAACCATTGAAAATCAATGTGAAAAATGCCTGCTACTTAAGTAGTCATTTTTGACCAAGTACGGTTTCAACAGGAGATTGAAAGCAGTGCATTCAAAAGCCGACATCATACTGAATCCGAAATACTATAGGATTATGTCGCGGGATAATGAACATCACAACCTTACCTAAGTAGTTCTTCCTAATTGAAAACGGATTTCAGAATTTTGGCCGACACTTCATGAGACCTGTTAATCACTGTACAGTGCCAAATGGCTACTTTCTATCGTTTGAGTATTTGGTGCCTGTGTCGCCAACTATAGCTGTTTGGGTGCCTAATGCTGATCGACCAGCTGAAAAGAGGCAGTCTTGTGCATAAATTATAATTATTTATAAGTCCTTATGTATTTCAGTGACTTGATTACCTCAAATGCTGCCTGCAGATTCTAACACAGTTACAACGCACTTGACGAGGAAAAAAATAAAGACGACAGATAATAAGCAGGAACGATGTTACTTTGTAGACGTCTGCAAAAAACATCACTAGAGACTAAAATCCACACACCTGTCGAGGTAAGATGGCTGAAAACTCAAAGATTTCCAAACCACAAGTCAAGGGAGAAAGAATCTGAAAATAATTCCTGCACCTAGGCTTTGTCTGCCTATAGTTAATAGGGGTAGGATGCACCTATAGATTCTAGTATACACTAATCTACTCCAAGTTAGCAGTTAAATTCTGAGCAAATTAAAAAATAACAATAACTAAGCTGGAGTGTCAACCAGAAAACACACGGGAAATGATGGGGGACCCGCTGAGGAGCAGAACCCCTCGCAGATGCACCATGCAGAGGCCGAATATCACCGAGACACGCATGTCTGGGCTTTTAACGAGTATCTGTGCTGCTAGTTCGGTATCTTCTAACGCTAGAATGTAGGACGCACCCTCGACCGACCTCAAGTTCACGCCACATTGTTGCTAAGTATCACGCAACATCTGCAATCGATGCTCTGGGTGGAATGACGGCGGTGAGCGATCGCGCTGGCAGTAGCGAGAGCAGACGGCTACACTCTCTTTAAGTAGCCAAGAGCTCCTCACTTCCTGTGCAGTTCGTCACTGCAAATTAGCTGAAACGCGTGAAGCGTCCGTTTCGGATTTAAAGCTACGTCTCTGGGAAACAATGTACGCGAAAAGTCTGGATGATAACCTCAACCCCTGCCAGCAGGAAGACAGGCCGAGACGACAGGAAGGCCGAAAGGAGAGGGCGTGCTTGCTGTGCTAGCTGCTGACTACCCAGGGGGTCGACTCCTGACGAGTAAAAGAAGACTTGTTAAGAGATAGGGGAGAGTGGCCGATAGTCCAAGCGTCGTTGCCGGCGATGTACACCGTATCCTCGAAAGTAAGGTGAAGCGGACACTACGACTTGTGCGTGATTTAGTTTATATTGATAGTAGACTTGCACAGCATCCGTCACACTCGCTCCTCCACTCCAACCTGGCCCGGTGTCAGGACAGAGTCAAGAGAGTAGGGTGGGAGGGTGCAGACGGATAGCTAGGTCGAGCCTGAACCCAGGCGCTCCACTCCACACCCCCAGGGTCCACACAGCAAATGATCACCATATGACAACAACATTTGTCTGCATGATATAGCACTGACATAATCTTAGAGGTTTAAACGTAGTA